CATGTCCTGACAAAGAAAAGCCCTACCCCTGACAGCTTCACTGGTAAATTCTACCAAACACTTAAAGAGAAAATAATACTAATTCCTAACTCATTCTATAAGGCCAGTATTACCATACTACAAAAGTTGAACAAAAACAATACAAAAAAAAATAATAAAACCATAGACCAATATCCCTCATCAACATTAATGCACAAATCCTCAACAAAATACTAGCAAACTGAACCCAGTAGCATATTAATAGGATTATACATCATGACCAAGTAAGATTTATTCTTGGAAGGCAAGAATGGTTCAACATATGAAAATTAATTTATGTGATATAACATGAATAAAGGTAGAAAAACCCACATAACCATCTCAATTGAGGTAGAAAAAGCATTTGACAAAAATTCAACATCCTTTCATGATAAAAACACTCAACAAACTAGGGTAGAAGAAAACTAACTGACAATAAAATCTATATACGAAACACCCACCATTCATCATACTCAATGGTGAAATACTCAAAACTTTTCCTCTAAGATCAGCAACAGGACAAATATGCCCACTTTTACCACATCTATTCAACATAGTACTGAAGTTGGATTGGAGGATTTAATATTGTTAGGATGTCAATATTACCCAAAAGTGACCAACAGACTCAATGCAATTATATCAAAATTCCAATATCTGTTTTTGCAGAAATAGAAAACCATCCTAAAATTTACATGGGTCCGAAGGGACCCCAGATATCCAAAATAGTCTTGAAAAAGAAGAACAGTGTTGGAGGACTCATACTTTCTGATTTCAAAACTTAATATAAAGGTACTGTAAACAAAACAATGTGGTGTGGCACAAAGACAGACATATAGACCACTGGAATAAAACAGAAAGTCCACAAATAAACGCTCCCATATATGGTCACATGATTTTTGATAAGGTTATCAAGAAAAGCTTACCAATGTACCCTCCTATGAACTGCTTAAGATTGCCTGTTTCTGGATACCTTAGCCCAAACTATTCTTTCACTCACAGAGAAAGAGACTAACATTTTTCTGTGTGTTTAGTTGTCATCTGTATTTCTTATTTTGTGACTTGCCTGATTGTGAATTTGCTAGCTTTTTTTTTTTTTTCTGTTTCCCGAGATGGAGTCGTGCTCTGTCGCCCAGGCTGGAGTGCAGTGGCTCGATCTCGGCTCACTGCAACCTCCGCCTCCTGGGTTCAAGTGATTCTCCTGCCTCAGTCTCCCAAGTAGCTGGGATTACAGCCTGTCACCACGCCCGGCTAATTTGTGTGTGTGTGTGTGTGTGTGTGTGTGTGTGTGTGTATATATATATATATATTTTTTTTTTTTTTTTTAGTAGAGATGGGGTTTCACCATGGCCAGGCTGGTCTCGAATTCCTGACCTCAGGTGATCCGCCCACCTTGGCCACCCAAAGTGCTGGGATTACAGGTGTAAGCCACTGCACCTGGCCTGACTTTTGCTAGCTTTTTACTGGGGTGTTTTACTTTTTACTGATTATTGGTTTTGTATATTAGGTGCATTAACCCTTTGTATGGCATATGTTGAGTCTGTTGGACCAATACAACTTATTGAAGCTTTCCCCCACTGATTTGAAATGCTACCTCTACTGTATACTAAATTAATATATAGGCGTATGAATCCATTTCTAGGCTATATACCACAGTGATTGAGTATGTAGTCTGAAACTAGGCTGCCTTGATTCAATTCCAATCTCTCAGGTAGAGACTACTTGGTTTTAAACACCCAAATATCAACAGTTACCTAAATTCCAGCATTGTTAATCTGACAAATGTATAAATAATGTAAAATGTAGTACTACCTAAATATTTGAAAAGTGAGTAATATAAAATATATACTAGAACTGTAGTTCTTAAGTCATATGCCAGGCACTTCATATATATTATTAATTCATTTGATACTTAAAGCACACTAGGGATTTATGCATTATCATCACCACAGGTGATAAAATGAAAGCAAACAGTTAGGTAAATTATACAAAATTATGCAGCAAATAACTGAGAGAGCTTGGAGTTGAATCAACAGGACTTAAATATAAGAAAATTACTGAGGGTGCTGGACCTGAGGAAATGGACCTGAAAGAACCCACCTCTTTGTTTACTTCACACTTGTACCTAGAAGCCTTGTCTCTCTCCAGTTTATTTTCTACAATGCAGCCTTACATGATCATACTCTAAACAAGGAATCAGCAAACTGTGACCTGCCATCCAAGTCTAACCCAAACTAAGAATGGTTTTTGGAAAAAAAAAAAAAAATCACAGAAACGGTTTTATGTGACATCAAATTTCAGTGTCCATATATGAACTTTTATTGGAACACAGCCAAACTTATTTGTGTATGTATTGACTATGCCTGCTTTTGCTCTATAATGGCAGAGTTAAGTAAATGCAACAGAGCCCGTATGGCTTGTAAAAAGTCTAAAATATTTACAAAACTTAGCCAAGCATGGTGGCACATGCCTGTAGTCTTAGCTCCTTCGGAGGCTAAGACAGGAGGATTGCTTGAGCCCAGGAGTTCAAGGTTATAGTGAGCTATGATCACACCACTGCATTCCAACCTAGGTGAAAAACCAAGACCCTGACTCAATCAATCAATCAATCAGTCAATCAATAAAGCATGCAAGAAACAAGCCTAAACTATTTGCTACCTGGCCCTTTATAGGAAAAGTTTCCTAGCCAAAATACTGATAATATCACTCTTCTGTTTAAAATGATTTAGTAACTTCTTATTGCTTTTGAGATAAATTCTAACTCCTTTATATGGAATAGTAAGTCCCTTTAGTCTCTCTGCTTTCCAGCCATATCAACTTTCTTATGTTGTATGTCTTGTAACTTTTTACCGCTGATAATATGCTAATGCAAAAGGACTATTTTCAGGTTAACTGATACACTTTTGTGTGATCCCATTGTGATTCACATGTTATTATTTTTAGTCTTTTACCAAGAGATAACTCAAGGGTAGAAAATCATGTATAAGTAGGAATAATCTTGATTATTTTACAAGCTTTTAATTTCAAAAGAGGTAACATTTTTCAGTGTATAGGCTACAGACCTCTGGCTAGATGAAATTTAGATAGTAAGAATCAATCTATTAAAAAAATAAATTCTTTTAGGCAATTTCTACATGGAACTTTAAATGTATATAGTAGATTCATGAGCTTAAATAGAACTTTCAGGCTTTAATGCTCTTAATATTTTGAGCTTCTTTAAAGCAGACCATGGGCTATAAATAAAGTTATGCATGAAGAGTAACAATGCAGCATTCTGAATTAATGAATGTTTGCTTTTGCAAATAAAAAGGACAGTAAAACGACTTCTATACTTCCCTTATTTTATATTTTCATCTTTTTGGTGTAAAAATCCTCATGGGTTAGGGTTAGCTTATCAGTAGAAAGGCTATTGGATGAAAGTGATTTGAACTAACCTGGATACTTTATATTGTCATTGGCTAAACTGAGACTGAAAAGCTGAAACCGGTATGATTTGAGAAAAGTTTAGAAGGTGCCTTTCATGATGTTTGTAATTATTACAACATTAGAAATTACAGAACATAATACCTTGAGAGATAAATTTTACCAGGCACCAAACATTTAAATATACATCTCTTTAGTTCTTATCTTGGCTAGAAAAAAGACTGAAACTATAGACATAAAAAATAAAGAAATATGGGGAAAATCTACCATTATTGAGGTAAGCGGCAAAGGTAAAAAGGTGGAGATAAGGAAAAAAGTCAATGGGGCTGGAAAATCTAAAAAGTGTAATTAATTTTCTGACACTGTGATCTCTGCATGTATAGATTTTGATGAAAATAATAAAACCTTCCCTCAATGTAATATGCCCGCTCAATTAGACATCACAAAATGCAGATGACGAATAAAAGAATGTTCACGCTTTTGAAATTAGATTTTTAATGGTCAATAAAAGTATAATTAATTGAATGACATACAATTAGAATTTAAATATCAAACTCAATCCAAAGAGGATTGATTTAATGTGATGAATCCATAATATTATCTAACACATCAAAGCTTAATTTAAACTACAGAATGACTTCACTGTGCAAAAGATTCTGGAAAAGCACCTTCTAGAAGTATTTCTTGCTTTCAAGAAGCTTTTGCTCTATTGTTTCTGTGACAGCAATGTAATTGCTATGTAACAGAATATCTGAAACATCAAAGCTTAAACTATAAAATGTCTTAATTGTGCAAAAGATTCAGGCAAAAGCACCTTCTAGAACTATTTCTTCTTTCAAGAACCTTTTGCTCTGTTGTTTCTGTGAAACAATGAAATTGCTGTCTAACAGAATATGCTGGGAAACCAGGAAAGGACTTTTCCTTTGTTCATTTGATCTCAATGTGGCACTGCCGTGCAAGATCTTATAAAACTGAAACCTGATACAGAGTATAAGGATTTGTAAGAAACTGGTCAGTTTTACTGTTCTGTAGCTAACAAATGGGAGGGCCAGAGTGTATGTGAATTTAACCTCTTGGATCCACTTTGTACTATAGTTACTCAAAAAATACATGTGAGAACATTCCTACTTTGTTACTCTACACTAAAATCTAAGGGACAAACTGAGCACATTCAAGATCTGTGGGACATGTTTTGCCCTGTGTCCTGGATTCTATAGCTTTTCTTCAGAGAATGGATTAGAAAGACATTTAAGATTATTAGATAGATAGGTGTCATCCCCTTGCATCAAGATACATGAGGAGAAAAGTTCAAGAATTATAAATTCTTAGAAAACATAAAAGATCCATTGGAGCCAGCAAAGAAAATGTCAACAAATCAAAAGATACTAGATAGCTATTGACCAATTCACGAAAGCAAACCTGCAAGTCAAGATGGAATAATGCTTTCCCACCATGTGTCTAAGCCTGCAAAATGACACTAATCCTTTTTAATGGTCACAAAAGCTGACAACTTACTCAGCCTTAGAACTGAAGGTACAAAATCATCTCCGAAAATGACTCACCATAAAGAGGTCACGAGCACCAATGTCAACAGCTAGGAGAAATGCCTTTTCAAATCTCTGGTACCTACAAGGCAGAAAAAAATGTTTATGTTAGTTGTGAACAAGAATATATAAAAGAAAAGAGCTGTTTATTTAACATATTTGCGTGATACTGTTTTTGTCCTTCTGATTGGAAAAATATTTTCAGACAGAAGGGAACTGGCCTACTAGGATCTTCCATATGTGAAAAGTTACTACATTTAGGAGGGGCTGAGGCTCAGAGCCTGTGGAGGCCTTAAGTATAACGTTCAAGAATAAACATAACCCCAAGTAGACACTGCCGACTATGATAGCTTAGAAAATATGTTGCCTCTTCTTGTTAGTACCTCCTGTATTTGCCTGAATCCCTCTCAGATATAGAAATCAAAAGGCAATTGTGTTTATTTTTGTGAATGAAGAGTGTCTTGTACTAGGAAGCTTATTGATTCATTATATATTCAGTGGAGGTGAGATATACTAAGGAAGAGGTTAGAGGATTAGCAAATTGTACTATTTGTCCATGCATTCACTGCAATTTTGCATTTGTCACCATTCCATTGTAACTATCTGGCAATACTAATTATCCATATATATAAAAATATATATATATTTATATTTTGAGACGGAGTCTCGCTCTGTCGCCAGGCTGGAGTGCAGTGGCATGATCTCGGCTCACTGCAACCTCTACCTCCCTGGTTCAAGCAATTCTCCTGCCTCAGCCTCCTAAGTAGCTGGGAGTAGGTGTGCACCACCATGCCCAGATAATTTTTGTATTTTTAGTAGAGATGGGGTTTCACCATGTTGGCCAGGATGGTCTCGATCTCTTGACCTCGTGATCTGCCTGCCTCAGCCTCCCAAAATGCTGGGACTACAGGTGTGAGCCACTGTGCTCAGTCAATTTGACACATTTGAAGAAAGAATTGGTGAAATAAAAGTGCATAAATTATGTATAAGTCAGGAATTACACAGAATGTTGCAGAGGAAAAAGAAATTAAAAATATAAAGAGAGGCTAAGCAAATTAGAAAATATGAAAAGTCTAATATGACTACACAGGGAATTAAGTTAATGGTTAAGAATTTCCAGAGATGATAAATGATATGAGACAATCAACACAAAAGAAACAATGTATATCAGCCAGGAGATATAAAAAGGAAATTTAAAATATTCACATTTATAATGGAAATGAAGAACTGAACAAAAAAAGAAAATTAGGCTGGGTGCGGTAGCTCACGCCTGTGATCCCAGCACTGTGGGAGGCTGAGATGGTTTTATCACTTGAGGCCAAAAGTTCAAGACCAGGCTGGGCAACACAGTGAAACCCCAACTCTACTAAAAATACAAAAATGAGCCAGGTGTAGTGGTGGGTGCCTGTATTCTCAGCTACTCAGGAGGCTGAGGCACAAGAATTGCTTGAACTCACAAGGCAGAGGTTGCAGTGAGCTGAGATTGTGCCTTTGCATTCCAGAAAAGAAAGAAATAAAAGACATCTATTAGTAAATAGGAAGAGAGGAAGTCAAACTATCTCCGTTCTCAGATGACATGATTCTATACCTACAAAATCCCGTAGTCTCTGCCCAAAGACTCCTACGTCTGATAAACAGCTTTGGCAAAGTTGCAGGATACAAAATTAGTGCAAAAATGAGTTGCATTTCTGTGCACCAATAATGTCCAAGCTGAGAGTCAAATCAAGAATACAATTCCATTCACAATAGCCACAAAAAGAATAAAATACTCAGGAATACAGCTAACCAGGGAGGTGAAAGATCTCTACAATGAGAATTACAAAGCACTGTGGAAAGAAATTAGAGATGACATAAACAATTGGAAAACCATTTCATGCTCATGGATAATAAGAATCAATACTGTTAAAATGGCCATACTACAGATTCAATGTTATTCCTGTCCAACTACTAATGACATTTTTCACAGAACTAGAAAAACCTTAGATTTATATGGAACCAGGCCAGGTGCAGCAGCTCACACCTGAAATCCCAGCACTTTGGGAGGCTGAGGTGGGTGGATCACCTTAGGTCAGGAGTTCGAGACCAGCCTGGCCAACATGGTGAAACTCCATCTCTACTTAAAAAAAAAACAATACAAAACATTAGCTGGGCATGGTGGCAGGTGCCTGTAATCCCAGCTACTTGGGAAGCTGAGGCAGAAGAATCGTTTGAATCTGGGAGGCAGAGGTTGCAGTGAGCCGAGTTCGCACCATTGCACTCCAGCCTGGGCAACAAAAGTGAAACTACAACTCAAAATTAAAAAAAAAAAAAAGAAAGAAAAAGAAAAGAAAACTTATATGGAACCAAAAAAAAAAAAAAAAACACCTGAATACCCAAAGCAATTCTAAACAAAAAGAACAAAGTTGGAGGCATCAGATTATGCACTTCAAACTCCTACAAAGCTACAGTAAACAAAACAGCATGGTACTGGTACGAAAACAGACACATAAACCAATGGAACAGATTAGAGAATATTGGGGGAAAACCCCACCCCTGATATTTATTGTGGGTTCTTTTCTATTCCCTAAGCATCTCAGCTGGTTTGAGAAATAAAAGGAAAGAGTACAAGAGAGAGAAATTTTAAAGCTGGGTGTCCAGGGGAGATATCACACATCGGCAGGTTCCATGATGCTTCCCGAGCCGTAAAACCAGCAAGTTTTTATTAGTGATTTTCAAAAGGGGAGGGAGTGCACAAATAGGGTGTGGGTCACAGAGATCACATACTTCACAAGGTAATAAAATATCACAAAGCAGGGCGAGATCCCAGGACCACCAGATGGGGCGAAATTAAAATTGCTAATGAAGTTTCAGGCACGCATTGTCATTGATAACATCTTATCAGGAAACAGGGTTTGAGAGCAGACAACCTGTCTGACCAAAATTTATTAGGCGGGAATTTCCTCATCCTAATAAGCCTGGAAGCGCTACAGGAGACCGGGACTTATTTCATCCCTTCGACTTCGACTGTAAAAGGCGGCTGCCTTAAGGGGGCCGTCTATAGACCTACCTTCAGGGCGCATTCTCTTTCTCAGGGATGTTCCTTGCTGAGAAAAAGAATTCAGGGATATTTCTCCTATTTGCCTTTGAAACAAGAGAAATATGGCTCTGTTCCGTCCAGCTCACTGGCGGACAGAAGTCTTATCTCTCTTGTTCCCTGAACATTGCTGTTATCCTGCTCTTTTTTCAAGATGCCCAGATTTCATATCGTTCAAACACACATGCTTTACAAACAGCTTGTGCAGTTAATGCAATCATCACAGGGTCCTGAGGTGACATATATCCTCCTCAGCTTACAAAGAAGATGACGGGATTAAGAGATTAAAGTAAAGACAGGCATAGGAAATCACAAGGGTATTGATTGGGGAAGTGATAAGTGTCCATGAAATGTTCACAATTTATGTTCAGAGATTGCAGTATAGATAGGTGTCAGAAATTATAAAAGTATTAATTTGGGGAACTAATAAATGTCCATGAAATCTTCACAATTTATGTTCTTCTGCCGCAGCTTTAGCTGGTCCCTCCATTCAGAGTCCCTGACTTCCTGCAACAAAAGAACTTAGAAATAAAGCCAAACACCTGCAACCAACCATCTGATCTTTGACAAGATAGACAGTAGCAGTAATGGGGAAATGACTTCCTATTTAATAAATGATACTGGAATAACTGGACAGTCATATACAGATGATTTAAACTAGACCCCTTTCTTTCACTGTATACAAAAATCAACTCAAGATGAATTACAGACTTAAATGTAAAATCTAAAACCATAAAAACCTTAGAAGAAAACCTAGGAAATATCGTTATGGACATAGGCCCTGGCAAAGATGTCATGACACAGACTCCACAAGCAATTGCAACAAAAACAAAAAATTGACAAATAGGAAGACCAATTAAACTAAAGAGTTTCTGCATAGCAAAAGAAACTACCAAAAAAGTAAACAGAGAACCTACAGAATGGAAGAAAATATTCAAACTGTGCATTTGGCAAAGGTCTAATACCCAGAATCTATAAAGAATTTAAACAAATTAACAGGCAAAAAACTTAAAACCCAATTAAAAAATGGGGAAAGGACATGAACAGACACTTCTCAAAATAAGACAAATAGCCAACAAGCATATGGAAAAATCCTCAGCTTCACTAATCGTTAGAGAAATGTGAATCAAAACCACAATGAGATACCATCTCATACCAGTCAGAATGGCTATTATTAAAAAGTCAAAAAACAACAGATGCTGGCAAGGGTGCAGAGAAAAGGGAACACTTATACACTGGTGGTGGCAATGTAAATTAGTTCAGCCACTGTGGAAAGAAGTTTGGAGATTTCTCAAAGAACTTAAAACAGAACTACTATTCAACCCAGCAATCCCATTACTGGGTATATACCCAAAGGAATATAAATTGTTCTAACATAAAGATATGTGATGTGTGTGTTCATCACAGCACTATTCACAATAGGAAAGACATGGAATCAACCTAGATGCCCACCAATGGTTGACAGGATAAAGAAAATGTGGCATATATACACCATGGAATACTATGCAGTCATATAAAAGAAAGAGATTATATCCTTTGCAGCAACATGGATGGAGTTGGTGGCCACTATCCTAAGAGAATTAATGCAGGAACAAAAGTCCAAATACCACATGTAGTCTCTTATAAGTGGGAGCTAAACACTGAGTATACAGGGACACAAAGAAGGGAACAGTAGATAGCAGGGCCTACTTGAGGCTGGAGTGTGGGAGGAGGGTGAATTTAAAAAGTACCTATCAAATACTGTGCTCATTTGTAGCATAGTTATCCTGGGTGATGAAATAAGCTGTACACCAGACCCCAATGACATGCAATTTACCCTTGTAACAAACCAGCAGATGTACCCTTGAACCTAAAACTGCCAAAAAAAAATAAATAAATAATAATAATAATAATATATACATAAAGTTTAAAAAAAGAAAAAGTTTAAAAAAAAAAAGAGAGAGAGAAGACACATCATCTACAAAGGAACTACAAATACTGACCCTAGACTTCTCATTGGCAACAATGGG